TATTTCCCTCAGATACCGACACCGAGTACTTTTAGACACAGTAGGATCCCCAATGCGACTGAAAAGCTATTACGTGTAGCAAGAATGTCTTTCCGCATGGATGGAAGGACATATGAGGAAGAAAAAAACTACTCGAGTGTTAGCGGCAAAGTAACAATATCGAACTTCTAAAGAAACACGTTTGCATATCTATCACTGATACTACCCAGCCAATGAAAGCGCATGTACACAGGGCATCTTTGCACGTTAGCCAATTTAACTTTATTGAATTCCGAAATTTTATTCTTAATTACTGATTGAACAATGCCTAACGTATAGGCATTGTTACAGAGAGTGGTAGTAATAAACTTGAGTTTATCATCTAGCTTGGTTTTAGAGCAGATCATTAAAGCCCTATGAGATCATTAAGGCCCTTAATTAAATTGATTTTACGTTTGACGGGATAAAAGAAAGTCCCAACGGGTATAAAACCGGTAAACGTCGTTTTTCGATAAACAGAAGTAAGAAAACCCGATGAAGTTTTGATAACCAAAACCTTAAGAAAGAGAAGGGAAGAATTAATTTCCTTTTCCTGCGTAAATTTGAGAGCTGGATGAATATTATTCAGGGACGAAAGAAATATTATTCAGGGACGTTATTGAAGAGATAAAAACTGTTATCCACATAACGGAAGTAAACATTAGGCTTATTAGATTTAGATAATACACTTTCCTCTTGGAATCCTACAAAAATGTTAACTAAAATAAGTCCTTAAGGGGAACCCATTGAAATACCATCAATTTGTTTATACACAACGCCGTCGAAACTAAAGTCAACCGACATCGTGGCAAATCCTCAGGAATAACAGGAGGGGGTAACTGACTACGATATAAGGCATCTGAATATATATCAATAGTCTCAGCGAAAGGGACGCAAGTAAAGAGGCTAGAAATATCATAGGAACACATAAATTTGTCAGTCGACGGATAACGCTGTATAAAGTAAAAAAATTCAAACGAATCTTTAATACAGGAAGAATTATACCGTTCCAAAATTGGCTGTGGTCACGCCATATTGCGAAAACACTATCATGGAGAAATTAGGTCTCAGTGGAACCCCGACCTTATGCGCTTTGGGGAAAACATAGAGAAGGGTCGAGTTCGAATTCCAGTCGAATCCATTACATTCACTTACGTGCTAATACACTTGGGAAAGGTGTGACTCCTCCTCTTCTCCCTCCAGCTATGGGTAAATAGCAGGACAAACTTGGATGGCAACTGCTCTAGAAGGACAACTCTGAATTCAAAACCTGCGGTAGTGCACCAGATCCGGGAGAGTCAGTATATATATATATATATATATATATATATATATATATATATATATATATGTGTGTGTGTGTGTGTGTGTGTGTGTGTGTGTGTAAACCATACGTATACGTAAATATACTTGCACGTACATAAATGTTTACTCAGATGTTATAAAAACAGTGCTCAATGTTATATAACAGAGCTATTAGGCATTACTTTATTAAAATACTTTAATAAGCACCTGTTATTCATAGTACCAAGAATGACAGTTTTTCGGCAAAAAGGGATGCATAGTGCGTTTATGTAAATTTAAAATTTTTAAAGTAATTTTTTTAATTCCACATCTTTGGAACTTGCATCGATATGAATTATTAATAATTAATTTAAGTATTATAGACAACAACAATATATGGAACAAATTTTAAGACACAATTTTATATCAACTATACGAGAACGCATGTAACTGCCTGAAACTCCATGTTGTGCTATTGACATGAGATATTATGTGTATTCACTAATATATATATATATATATATATATATATATATATATATATATGATAGATAGAATTAATAGGGCGCGTGTGAGAATGGGTTGAACGTTACCCTTACGACTATGAATCTCACAATTTTATCGACGACTTTTTTTGATAAATCGTCCTGGATTGATTATCCAAGTGCGTGACACTATTAGGAAGTACTTGAAACTACACTGCAGATTAGCCAAAGTCTTGTGAGTAAAATTGGTTCGACTGCTCGAAAGCCCGTTATATACGAAGTCAAGTCATCTTTATTGATGGATTGAGAATACTGGCCTTGCCCAACTGCTGATCATTCTACATTATAATCCCTCTCCAGGTTTTATATGAATGTCGGATTACAAGACATGTGATAGGATACTGAATAAATATAAAATAATATACATGAACCGACTGAAGGTCGCTTGATCACGTAAAACTTTTTGACTTGTCTCTTTAATATTTCTGGGTCCTATTATTGATCCAATCTATTTTTTTTTTGTTTTCAGATTTACTCTCCTGAGTTATATAGCACTTCGTATAATTTTTAATTTAATTCTTAAACGGTGTGTAGAAACTATTAGTATCCCAGCTGTGGGAAAATAGTGACCATCCAAACAAATAAAAAAAATCACTATGAAATATGAAAATACATTTTTATACTAAAAATACCAGCAATATATTTTATATAAAACATTATCAACAATCCTTATTTATAGTAAAATTATTATAATTCTATTGCAAAATGACCAACAATACTTTTTATCTGTAGTTGAAGGCATACAACTGTTTTCAAAATATTTAGATTCCGTCATTAAATAACCTGTAGAGGTTGATATGCCGTTAAATAAAATCAACCACCCAACAGTTTTTGAATATTAATTTATTTCCCTTCAGCGAGGTTATATATTTTTTCGTTTTACTCTTCGTAAGTTTATTAATTCCGGTTGTACACACACATATATATATATATATATATATATGGAACAAGTTTTAAGGCACAATTTTATATCAACTCCGCAAGAACGCATGTAACTGCATGAAACTCCGTGTCGTGCTATTGACAACGGATATTATGTATATACTAATATATATATATATATCGAAGTCGTGATGATTGCTGTGGCATATATATATATATATATATATATATATATATATATATATATATATATATATATATATATATATATATATGTACTCGACTCGCCCGTCGAATTCGACGTCTGAGGTCAACAGATCAGTTCCAAGTGAAACCGACAGCCCGACAACAGCACATGAGATTTGATTGTAGTGGTGAAGGTTTCGTGCAGGACCATCCACACTTTTTGAAGGGCCGAATACAGAGGCCTGGTGAACTCCCAAACGACCTTCCGGAGGTTTTGAATTCAGAGTTGTCCTTCTCCTAGACCAGTTGCCATCCAAGGCTATAGAACCCAGTCTGTCCTGCTATTTTACCCATAGCTGGAGGGAGAGGAAGAGGATTCATACCTTTCCCAAGGGTATTAGCGCGTAAGTGAATGTAATGGATTCGACTGGAATTCGAACTCGGCCTGCGATTCCTCAATCCAAGCCGAGCCGCTATCCATTACTCCACCGTGCCCCCTCTCTCTCTCTCTCTCTCTCTCTCTCTCTCTCTCTCTATATATATATATATATATATATATATATATATATATATATATATGTGTGTGTGTCCGCGCGCGCGTGTAGTGCATATTTGGGCAGAAATCCTTCTTTTATACAAGTTTCATTGAAGACGACTACATTGCGATTAGTTTTTTTCGTAAACTTTTCTTGCATTCGTAGAAGTGATTTTTTGTGGATATTCTTCTTTATGTGCCGTCTCACGTCTGGTGATCATAGCTCTCCACAATTTCCTGTCCCTTGTCTCTCTTAATGAATTTTGTCTTTTCGTTATTTCTATATTCCGTCATTCATTCAATCAATTTCATAAAGTATGTTATACGATGTTTTCCTCTGTCTCTCTTGCCCTCAATCTGTCCTGTGAATATCAGATTTTCCAACCCATATTTCTCATTATATGCCCCAGGAATTCAACTGTCTCTTCCTGATAAGTATAAGTGCCCTTTTTGTTTCCTTTTTCTCTAAAACCTCGTCGTTGTTCACATGTTCATGTCCATGGTATCCTCAGTAACCTTCTGTGGAACCACACTTCTGTTGCTTCAGATCTTTTCTTTATCTTTGATGAGACTGTCCAGCATTTGCTGATATACAGGAGGACATATATCACGTAACAGTTCAATTTCTTTGTTTCTAAAAACATTTTTTCTGTCTCTTAATACTTTTCTTAGGTTTTGGAATGCATCTTGTGCTATCCGAATGTCTCTTCGGATTTTAGTGTCGTACTTTCAGTCTTCTGTTAAAACACTTCCCAGATAGTGTTTAAAAACTGTTCAAAAGATATGTGGATCTGAGCGCTTTCAATTAATCTGCTAGCCATTATCAAAGATGCTTTCTTTTTTGTTTGGACATAGGATTCAACACTGTTATATGAATGTCAGTTTTATGTTTCATTGTAATCCTCACAACAATATAAATATTTTTAAAATTTGCTACACATGCACACCATACAAACGGTGAAAATGTAGGTATATCGTAATGAAAAACAACATATATCCTTTACATACCACCCATAAAAGAGCATCTTGACGTGGTGTAATTGTTAGCAAGCTTGTCTTACTAAAACACTTACGACTGAGTAGTGATTTCGATCTTCAGTGGGTACTCCATTCTTTCGGTCTTGTGCTGCATCTAGGCTATGCTTAAAAAAATCACCCCCAAATCAGTCCATATGGGGTGAGATCCGGCAAACTACAGTATATCTACTTCTGCAGCCTCTTGTATATATTTATGATGTATACAAATTCGTCAAATAATTCGTTAATAAGGATAATGAATTGGGTTATTTATAACACAATTCATTATCCTAATTAATTTCGAATAGAATATGCCTATATCCGCGGAAAGTGCTCAGACGGACTACATTCCCTGGTGCCGGAAGTTCAAATCTTCACGTCAAGGACACCTCATGCCACCTACATAGTATCAAACCACCCACATTCCTGCCGTATTCCATCGGTGAGAAGTAAGTTCCACTGGAAAAAACTTTTTTTCCCGCGAACCACTACTCGCTTATTGTATTGGTTATTGGATGATACCTCCTCATGCCATGTGGACTTGTTCTTACCTCAGTTCCTCACAGGCAGATATTAGCGTTTCTAAGCGTTTTTTCTCACTGTATTACTCTTGTTCATCTAGGTATTCTGGCCTGCATATTTCAATGGCTCTGAGGTAAAATCATGAAAATCGGCCTACACAATCGACTAGCAAAATCTTCAGATTCATTGCTCTACAATAGTTGCCCTTATCAATTGCATTCTGCCATTCTATTTTTTGTATATAAAACCTCAAAGATTTTTAGATGGAAGTCAATTCCAATTTAAAAAAAAAAATAATATACAGCTAAATTATGGAGGACAGCTGTAGTGTTACAAGACAATTCACTAATGGGGAATGTTCTATACTGACTGGGTGGCAGGTCACTACACCCTCTTGTTAAACTAAAGCTAAGCTGAGAAACAATCCCATAAGTGTTGTCCTTGGATTTTGCCATATGTCAGAGTTGGCTTCGCCTAATAAATATCTACTTACGCGTTAGGCCAATATCATATATATATATATATATATATATATATATATATATATATATATATATATATATATATATATATATACTGACTATATGTGTGTGTAATAATATATATATTTCTGCATGTTTGTGTGTGTAATATATATATATATATATAGTTAATGGAGATGAATCAGACCAGGAAACGGTAGTATTAAAGTGCTCGATACACATGTGATAAAAATAAAAATAACATAAAGGGCTTTTAACTTGAAAAATTCCAAAATTAGGGGATCAGTTGAATTCGCTGCCTTGATTTTAATCTTACGATATCCTCAGGTCATTTTTATCAATTAACCTCCCAACGCTTCATTTAAAAAAAAAATATTGGAAAATTCTAAAAAAGACAAAGACTTATAACAGTCACAATAATATTTGCGACCTCTGCCATCAGGAAAAATTAGCAATAATTTCCTGATCCAAAGAACCATTTGAACCAGAGATCTGAAGTCATGGGCAACTGCATACATACTAAAATTTTCCTCTTAAGCACTTCTTTTTCTTCTTACCCCACCTTTCTCACACACCCAAATTTGTGCGTTTATTTTTCAAAAATAATATAGCTTTCATTAGTTTTTTTTTTTAAATAAAGTGTTGCGAGGTCAATTTATGAAAATCGCCTGAGGATGCCGTAAAATTGAAACCAAGGTAGCGGATTCAACTCTTTCTGGTATTAGTTTGTAGGCTACAAAGTAATATCATTAAGAGTTTGAAAAATCCTGCAAATTTTAAAATTAAAATTCGTAGATGAAAATGGTCATTTACTAAACGTATCTTAATTCCAATTGTAAAGAAAGTATACTCACCGCCTGGTTGTTTGCGTTTGTGTGCATTGCCTGCTGTCGCAAGTTATGTGTTAATTACTGAAGAGGAATTAAGTTTTCATGACAGAAAAGCTATATTCAGTGAGAATTAAATTAGATTTTCTCAGAACAAAAGCCGAAAACACCAAAGAAAAACTGACATAAGCAAAGACATTGCAAAATTTTTGTTGAGGTCTAAATACCTGACTGGAGAGAAGAGTAATTAAATCCCAGAAGCCCCACGACACAAGAAAGTGAAAGAAAGGACATGTTACTATAGAAAGCCTATCAAACTGATTGTTATCTGTACAAATGCAAGCCATAGAAATGAAACACAAAGAAGCAGGACAATTCTAAAGCAAGTTTTGGTAGCACTTTTTAATTTATTTTGTGACTCACAGCAAATTAATAGAATTAAACATTTTTTTAAAAAATTTATTCAGATTTTTAGTTGAATACGCATATATCGGCAGAGTAATTACGTAAGATAATGTAAAAAGATTCTATTCTGACATGTTTCGCTAATGAACAGGCGTCATTATATAGAGAATTTTATTTCACAAAATAGTCATTCTTCTCCCTCTTCTTCCAATACTACTACTTCTTTTACTAATACTACGACTTCTACTACTACTATTTCTTCTTCTACTACTACTAATGCTTCCTCTTCTACTACTACTATTACTACTACTTCTTCTTCTCCTACCACTACTTCTTTTTCTTCTTCTTCTACTACTATTACTACTAATGCTTCTTCTACTACTACTACTGCTACTACTATTACTACTACTTCTTCTTCTTCTTCTTTTTCTTCTTCTTCTACTACAACTTCTTCTTTTTCTTCTACTACTACTATTACCAACTACTTCTTTTCTTTTTCTATTACTACTACTTCTTTTTCTTCTCCTACTACTACTTCTTTTTCTTCTTCTTCTACTACTATTACTACTAATGCTTCTTCTACTACTACTACTATTACTACTACTACTTCTTCTTCTTCTATTACAACTTCTTCTTTTTCTTCTACTACTACTATTACTACTACTTCTTTTCTTTTTCTATTACTACTACTTTTTCTTCTTCTACTACTATTTCTTTTTCCTCCTCTACTACTACTATTATTACTACTTCTTTTTTACTTCTACTGCTACTACTACTTCTTTTACTTCTACTGCTACTACTACTTCTTTTTATTCTTCTACTAATACTACTTCTTTTTCTTCTTCTTCTTCTTCTACTACTACTTCTTTTTCTTCTTCTTCTACTACTACTACTATTACTACTACTACTTCTTCTTCTTGTGCTGTGTCCCCACAGGACGTAGGCGATCATGTTTCTCCACAATTTCTTATCCGTTGTAACTCTTAATATAAATATGATTCTACAGAAAAATGCCGAGGATATCATGGACCGAACATGTGAGAACATCGAAGTTTTGGAGAGAATGGAAACAAAAAAGGAAACTTTTAACATCAGGAAAGGGCAGTTAAAATGTCTGCAGTACGAAATGAGGAATGGGGCTTGGAAAATTTGATACTCCCAGGACAGAATGAGGACAACAGAGACAGGAAAGCAGCGCATGACATATTTGATGAGCTTGACTAAAGGATGGCGGAACAGGGTTTAGGAGAAATAACGAAATGGCAAAAATTATTAAGAGCTACAAGGCATAGAAAGATGTAGACGGCCATGACTGTGTCTACATTCTAAAGGGATAAGGCACATGAAAAAAGAAAAATCTGTCCTGTTCAGATGCCTCAATCGAGGTACAGGTGAAATCGAGCTTCAGTCAAGGCACCAGTTCGCTGATCTGTTCGAGGTATGAAAAATACTTAATGGCTATTATAATGAAAGTGAACAATTTCTTCACCTTCTCAAACAGGAATATGCGTGGACTTTATGTGTTGTATCCCCTCAGGACATTGGCGTTCAAGGCTCTCCAAAATTTCTTCTACTTTATTAATTTTATCTTTTCGTTATCCATTTAATCATCAAGTTATGCCATGTTTTCCTCTGTCTTTCTTGCCCTAAATCAGTCCTGTGAGTATCAGATTTTAAAAGCCCTCCTTCCTCATTATGCGTCCTAGAAATTTCAAATGTCTCTTCTTGATAGTAAGTATGTTTCATTTTTGTTTCCATCTTAATGAATCCATTTTAAACGACTGAAAGCTTGATATCAACTAGCGTTAGAGAATTTCTAGTTAATTTCAATTTTATTTACTTTATACGGCCCATTTTCCCCCCGCATTGATTCAATACCAATTTAGTAAAAACTGGCGATAAACTGAAATAGTTCAGTCATATATTGTAGCACTTTCAATATACCTTCGTCTGAGTAAATTCATTTTGTTTTTATTTTAGATTAGCGGCAATGTTTCATTATTTTACAGTTGTTCTATATAAAATATATTGCTGGTATTTTTACTATAAAAATGTATTTTCATACTTTCATAGTGATTTTTTTTTTGATGGTCACTATTTTCCCACAGCTGGGATACTAATAGTTTCTACACACCGTTTAAGAATTAAATTAAAAGTATACGAAGTGCTATACAACTCAGGAGAGTAAATCTGAAAAAAAAAAAAGAAAAAGATTAGATCAATAATAGGATCCAGAAATATTCAAGAGACATGTCAAAAAGTTTTACGTGATCAAGCGACCTTCAGTCGGTTCATGTATGTTATTTTATATTTATTCAGTATCCTGTCACATGTCTTGTAATCCGACATTCATATAAAACCTGGAGAGGGCTTATAATATAGAATGATCAGCAGTTGAGCAAGGCCAGTATTCTCAATCCATCAATAAAGATGACTTGACTTCGTGCCTGAGCAATCATAACGGGCTTTCGAGCAGTCGAACCAATTTTACTCACAAGACTTTGGCTAATCTGCAGTGTAGTTTCAAGTATTTCCTAATAGTGTCAGCCACTTGGATAATAATTGAAATGGCTAAAATCTAACCGTAAATTCTATGCTAACAGTTTCTTCTGTGACACTTTTCACTTCTAGAACTCTTTTCAGGCTTTTTGTTTTCCAGTTAAGTTTGATATTCAAAGATTTTTAGTGCAGATGACAATCGTCATCTTCTGTTTTCTTAATTTCTGTTCTTTTACTCACTCTGCTTAATAATGTTTTATTTTTCTCATTCTCTCAAACTCAGTAAGTCATTTGAAGCTTTATTGTCTTCCTGGGGAGAAATGATTTAAAAATATTAAAACGACATTTTCCAGTTCAAAATTGTGACCAACAATGTTCCTATGACTTGTTAGTACATTGAGTAATTTGTTTAATATTATGTTTCTTTTTGTTTTCGTATATTCTCTTCTTTAAATTTCGATATTTTTCCCCGATGTAATTTCTTTTTTGGTGGGGTGGAGGGTGATTCTTTATATTCTATCAGTAAATAACTAGTGCTTCCGATGTAAAGTTGACTACTATTGGCATGTACATCCCACCAATTTTAATGTCGAAACTGTGAAATGTAACCGCTACTTCTACTCCAACAGCTTCTCTCGCACTTCTCAACAATAGAATTCCCTTCCTCTTACTTGCTTCAAAAATTTAAATACAACGTCAGTCGTCATCTTCTGATTCCCATTCTTCTTTCTATCCTTTCCTCATCCCCACCTATATCCAGTCTTTTCTTTTACTTTCACTCTCTGTACCACCCACCTGCATACTAGTGGCTTAAAAGTTCTTATACTGAGTTTTGATAATTTTCTTTTCAAGTTCATTTGTTAACGAAATGTGTACGTGAAATGAGGTTCCGAGTTTCTGTCGATATATCTATCATCAATCACAGATTAAGAATGGAGTGCTACAGCAATAGTTTACAGACAATAGATGCAACGTTTGCGTAAAGCAATGAACTCTCTGAATCTTATTCCCAAAATGGTAAAAATAATTTTACATTAAATTAATTCAGTACTTAAATATGGAACTGTTATCTGAAATCCAAAAATATGCGACGGTTATCTGGAATCCAAAATGCAAAAAGAAAAAAATAAATATCGACAGTCATCTCACCAGAGCAGATGCTTCGACCGAGCTATGGCGAAATCAAGCTCCCATCCCTTTAGTCAAGTTTAGTTCACCGATCTGTGCGAGTTAAGCAAAATGCTTAATGGATATTATAAAACTAGGATGAACAATTTCTTCATTTTTCAAACAGGAGGATGCGAGGTCGTCTTTTTTACGTGTCGTGTCCCCTCAGGGGAATCTTGGCTCCTGTTCTTTGTAGCTCTTAATAAATGTTATTTTTCGTTATTTGTTTTAAACGCTGGTCCGTCATCCATTTTCTCAAGCTCATCAAGTATGTTATGCGATGGTTTCCTCTGTCCCTCTTACATTCAATCTGTCTTGCGAGTATCAAATTTTCGAAGCTCTCCTTCCTCATTATGTGCCTCAGAAATTCCAACTCTCTCTTCTTGATGTTAAGTAAGAGTTTTAATTTTGTTTCCATTTTCTTTAAAACCTCGTCGTTGCTCACATATTCGGTCCATGGTATGTTCGACATCCTTCTGTAGGACCACATTTCTGTTGCCTTAAATCTTTTCTTCATCTGTGAGGAGATTTTCCAGCATTCACTGCCATATGCGATGACAGATATCACGTAACAGTTCAGTACTCTTTTCTTTGTTTCTAACGAAGATTTTCTGTCTCTTAATACGCTGCTTAGCTTTTGGAAGACTTCTTTGACTATCCCAATATGTTTAGTCTTTTCAACTCACTTTCCTTTACTATATTATGTGGGAGGACTTGTGGTTTCCTTTCCATATTTGCAATCAACACTGTATCATCCGCTTATGTTATGTTGTTAAGATTGTGACCGCCAATAATGATTCTTGTTAGGACATCTAATTATCTTGGAATTGCTTTGCTGTATACGTTGAATAAGTCTAGTGTTAAGAAACATCCTTGTCTTACAGCACTTTCTATTTCGTGTAAGTTGAGCTTATTTTCTATCTGTATCTAGGCGGTTTGCTTCCAGTCACAATCACTCACACAAACTGATGAAAGTACAATCGAAAAAGATCGCAAGATCTAACTTATTTGCCCTGAAGGTGACAGACAAACGGAACTCTTTACCTTGTGATGTTGTGCGATGTCAGCTATTTTTACGAAGAAACTGACAATCCTGCTCAAATGAGCTGAAGGGCTGACGAATAATTCTAATTCACAGGCGTACATATACACTAATTATGATGAATACGTATATCTACATTGATTTTTCAAAAGACGCATATGCGTATGGAGGTTCTCTCTCTCGCTCTATCTTTCTCTCTCTCTCTTATATATATATATATATATATATATATATATATATATATAATCTTAAGGGAATCTAGGCTAATGAGGCAGTAAAGCTACTAAAAGACAAGGGATTACTGGTGTGTAAGAATTAGAAAACAGAAACTTTATTGCAGTATAAGAACAATAGAAGAACATTCAAGAAGACAGTAGATAAAATGCATTTAAAGTTTACGTTATTCTTATCAGAATTTAGTCAAATAAGCTGTATACATAAAAATAACCTATGAACAGAATATATATATATATATATATATATATATATATATATATATATATATATATTGCATAGAAGTTTAATGGTCAGAGGTGAATTAGAGCAAGAAACGGTAGTATTCAACCGTGTTCAATAGACGTGTGAAAAAAGAAAAGAAAAAATAACACGATGAGTTTTAATATTCAAAATTAGTAGATCATTTGATTCCGCTACCTTGGTTACAAACTTAATCTCAGTCGATTTTCAAACTTACGGTAGTCTCAAGCAAATTTGATATATATATATATATATATATATATATATATATATATATATATATATATATATATATATATATTGTCATCCACAGACAGACAGACTGTTTCGCTGTATCACAGCTCTTCAATGTAAATGAGACGCCCGATTGCTTCAAGTCGGGATCGAAACCCGACCGATTTGACATGGCTACCGTCGCACATCAGAGAGGAAGAAAAAAAATTAACGTTTTTCTGTGTGAAATATGCCAGTGGCTAGGAGAGCAAAATTCGTACTTGAAGAGTAATGCATTAATAGCAGTAGGAGCCGCTGTTTTTAAAAACCCCTTTCTCCCGAGAGCTCAATCGGCTTTCCCGGGAGCATATATAGTGTCATCCATAGACAGACTGTTTCACTGTATCACAGCTCTTCAGTGTGTCT